TTAGGTGCCAACGCATGTGCCACCTTGAGACTGAAGGCAGCAACACTCAAGAAATGTGGAAGAGCATAAACGTACCTTTAACGCCTGCGGACGTGAGGTTGGAGGGCCGCCAACATTCTATTAAGGTTATTATTGTAGTACATGCCTTTCACGTTATCAATGGCGGTAAGTCCCGTTTGCCGCATCTGCCGTTTATCTGTAGCGGAAGAGTAAAGGATTATGGGATATTGAATCAGTCATCCAAATAATATCATCAATGTTAGTTGGTTAGGGATCAGTTCTACATAACGTTTAACGCAGTGTACACCAAATAAAACTTGAATAGCTTCATCTTCCATGATACAGAACTCCTTCTTTCATTCTAGCTATAGCCTAATTGAAACCGCTGATAAAAAGTCGTGATGGTTTACATGTGCTGTATCAAAATAGACTTTTTACGTCCGACTGAATAGTTAGCCACACACTACGGGAACCATAACACGGAGAGCGTAATACGACAAGCCCTTGGTGTGTACTAGTGGAAATAGCAGGGAGGAACTTGATCTAGAAACTCAAGAAGTTTCTAATGTATTCCCCATTAAGGTCTCTCCACTATTCATGTCACGCGTGGCTGAAACAGCAGACGTGAGTTGACTGCGAAATCCCCCACCCACCCGGTAGATTCAACAGCGAGGGGCGATTGTCACTCTCTATTTCCGATTTTCATTGGGTAATCGAAAAATCGCGCGCCCATCGCGCGAAAAGGTGACTCTCAATTACACGCCGTTTTTCAGTCTCTGCTCAATGGGGGACCTAACCGGTTGCGCAGCTTCAATACACATAGGGGCCTACCTGTTTTGCATACAAAGTGTGGACATTCCTTTGTTCTCCTGTGGTTAAGGAAACTTGAGGAAAATGCTCCTATTTCTCCAACTAGGATAACTCCTTTGAGATGGATTTTTGATGATTATTTCCTGGACTGTTCCTCTTCATTTTGCCACCGATAACTTTGATCCCAAAATGCCTCTGAAACTATTTTTCAGAGAGGGGAAAACTTGAGGGAAATGTGCGAGTCCACACAACGCCATCGCGCCCTACATTGTGTGGACGTGAGGTCCACACTATGTACGCCACGCCTGCACACCGTTGCAAGCGTAGGTCACGAGGGATACCGTAACACGAGACAGCAATCCCCATAGTACATCAATGAATGCTCTTTTGTTACCCCCATATGAGCCGTTAGGTCAGGGAACCAGTCTGTGGGGTACTGCACATATGTGTTCGTCCAGTGGTCACGTGGTATAATTTTGGCTCCTTCCTATTGCCTGGCATTGTGCTTTTTACATATGCTTGAATTTGGTTACAAATTCCACTATCTTGATAGACGGCAAACAGACACAAGAAGTTACGTCGAGCTATATTTTGCTGGTTTAGACCACAATACGCACTTGTACTCCTGAGACATAGAGCGTTTTTCAGCCTTCAAAATGGCTGGAACCAGCCAAACCGAAGTCTAAGCCGCATCCACTCGTTTAGAAAACGCTCATAGTCTCACTAATTAGCTAATTCATCACCTTCCGTGATTATTGCATTTTGTTCTTTCTCGGATGCCGATTCAAGAACAGACTCCTGGAGGGACATGACGAAAGGTTTAACAGTTCGTTCACAGGATTACGAGACTTGCGGGGGGTCGTTGGCGGTTGTTATAAAGGCTTGTCAATTCAATGCTCAATTTTGTACTGAGAATGTTCAACCTGTCAGCAAAATTTGAAAAAAGGAAAGGGTGTGGGAAGGTCCTTTCACGTCTATGTTTTTATACCGAAACTACGAGTACCGCATTTGTGAGCATCATAAAGTCATCCAGGTTGATGAGTCGAGAGAATTATACCAATGAATGGTGACATTGGTATTCCTTCTGTCAATATCTTTCTCTTATAAATTTACTGGTGATTGGCTCGTAATATCACTTCTGATGGACTGGACTGTAATGCTTCAAACTATAGCTTCATATAGATAGTGCAAGGATCATCAGACCGGATAGGAAGATTGGTTCCCCGAAAGGAAAAATGGTAACGTCTACAATTCTGTTACCTTCATTATTGTTAGAGGCTTCAGGCAAAATGTCGACCGATACCTAAAATACGAGCAGAAAACGGGACAACATGGTTGTAAATATCCGCGAGTAAGAACTCTGTTTCTGCCTGCTGTGTTCCCGCTTAACAAACCTACCACCACCCCGTCCCCAGGGGGAATAACAGCCCAGATAGGTGTACACTTTGCCTTCCCGACAAAAGCGTGCACCTGAATACCGCGGCGGCTCAACATCGTCCTGGATAAATATTACAGTACACGCAGTTTAATGTCCCCAGGCAGGGGGACACTGACAATCCCTATTGCTTTCTTATCCCCTGCCGAAGCTCTTTGTTGAAACTTCATCAATTTTTCACCGGCGGTTGATGTTTTGCATTGAATGATGCCCCAATGAAGCTAGGCACTTCTTTAAGATCTTGAGAGCAGTTTCAATTATTCACCTTCTTTATTTAAGCAGCGGTCGATGCCTATTTTATCTTTTTTGGAGCTGGCTAAAGGCTTCATTGCATTTGCCAATACGGTCTCAAATGGAAAGCTGGTACCTGGGCGGCAATTGCAGTGGTAACCCGCCACAAGGGTTGCAGATCACGACCATGTATCGGCTTGCTCGAGGGGTACAAAGAAATCACAACAGCCGGCACTGTGAAGACATCCGTCTCAATGTTCTATCGGCCTTCCGGCCAGATATATGATAGGCTGAACAATTTACAAGATGATACCTGGGTAAACAACTAGGTTTTACAAGATGATACCTATGTCATGGTTGGACAAGATGAGGTTGCAGCTGCCAAGATGGAGGTAATAAAAATGCGGGTTTATACCTCTTGACTGTAAGACCGAATCATACTCAAATATCGCGTCACCTTTTGGGCGATTGTTCCTCGCGCAATTTTACCCCGCTTTGGCGGGAAAGGTGAGACGGAGAGCGGGGGGATTCAAGCGACCGAGCGGTGCACGTGCCCAAGTGCACGGCGTGAAGGCACGAGTCATATGAACTCGAAAAACATGTCAATCGATGGGCTTTCAGCTCTTTGCTTGGAGGCGAGCATTTCATGACACTGTGACATGTTGGCATAATCCTTCACAGGCTTTTCTTTAAACTCAAATTCCCAAACGTTTGACAGGGTTATCGATCGCTCCAATTTCGGATGCTGTATTTCGATCCTTTATCTTAAGCTCTTCATTTGAAACGCCATTTCGTTAAAAGAGGACCTTCTCGTGGCAAAAGTGTTTAAGTTGAAATTAATCAATTCTAGGCCTACGTGAAATTTGAAAACGTATAAGAATCATTGGAAGTAATCATGTTCACACCGCTTTATTAATAGACATGTCAATTATAAACGGGAAAGCAGCACATGACAGCACCTAATTTAAGGACTGATATACAAAACGACTGACCCTTGGTGCTTCATTAAAACATCAGTGTTGGTCCCTGACCTCTTTGCTGTGAAAGGGTTGGGCTTTGTGCATGGTTAATGGCGAAAATGGGAGACTACCAAAGTTTTCGCAGTACGTTGACTCTTACAACTTGCTGCTGCCGAAGAAGTTTTTGAGCCAATTTTTTAATACAGCCTGTCCTTGTATGAACCAAGGCAGCGTTACGGATACACCGTTTGCCCGAGAGATCACATGGACATCCTGGCGGTAGAAAGAATGAACCGATGGGACATGTTGACGCGCTTTATTATCCATCCTTATTCCAGTCTCTGATTTTCGTTAGCTAATTTCAAGTCACTTTAATGCCATTTACACCTCCTGCTGTTACCTCCTTAGTGTGGAGAATAACAACACTGGTTGTACGATGAGATTTCCCATTTCAAATTAATTGAGTCTTTTTGTGGAGAAATGTTTGTCACCGTTTTCACAGAGAGGTGGAAATGTAAAAAATGACATTTTTTCGAGTTCGTTTTTCCCCACTGTTTTGTTTTAAAACAGAATTACCCGTTTGCGTTTTGACACAAATCTGACTGCCTCTCGTACCAAAAACATACTGCCCAGAATGGCCGAAAAATACTGATTTTCGTTTTACGACAAGGCGCACACCTTTGTTATATTCACAACTGTAAAAGCAAACATGCGTGACCCTTACCTATCCACCTCAATCAGAAGCACCCCCTCATCGATTGAAAAGAGCCATATGACAGGAGCGTTTATTTGGTGGTAGCCATGTGCCCGTAACACGCACATTTCATAGTCGTTTGTAAACCAGCGAAGTTCAGTTCCGACCAAAGCAGCCTCCGTTGCTAAGAAAATCGCGCCCTCTCTTGGTAAAGCTCGTAGCTTGTAAAGGAATTTGACCATCAGAATTAGAAGCCATAACTGTGGCGGAACAACACTCGTGGACAGGTGGTGAGCGCGAGTTATGTGACTCTTTGACCAATGGGGTGTCGTGATTTGTCAAATGTCAAGCTGAAGAAAGTGTGTATGAGTGCTGTGCCACTGCATGACGTCTAATCGGAATAGATAGAAAGAATATATGGATAATTAACATCTTCTTTTTCTTTTCCCCATCAATTGGCACAAAAAGACTGTTACAAATTCCCCTTCATACCCCTGACCTTTTTGGAATGAAATCATTTACCTGCCGAAATAAGGGAAGCTTCAAATATTGATACCTCCAAAACAAAACTGTCTAATATTGATATATCATCATTAATAAAGGGGACGCACCACATGTATTAGAGTCATCTAGCCATCACGCACCTGCAACTTAAAATAGCCCATTGTGGAGGTTGTTGCAGTACTTAGAAGAAGAACACATAAAAAGACTGCTCAAAATGTAGGAACTGTGCATTTTCATTTCCAGGAATGGACGCATATCTTTACTACTTTAATTTCGGGTTATTTATCACTTGTGCCCATTTTAATTACTGGGTTCACGCAAATGTTTACCTCTCAAAGAATCATTTTATTGCATGAGGTTGTTGAAAATGACTTTTTTTAGTTTTAAAATAGGAGAAACTTCTCTGGTGATTATCTCGAAAACCCGTTTTTTTAAATCTACATGTGTCTTTTTGTGAAAACGGTAACAATTTGCACACATTTGTTTTATCACATTTATCGAGGAATGTAGTTGAAAACCTCGGTAACTAAGACGAACTCAATTCAATAGTACATGTATCATTC